TACTTTTACTAACATTACGACCATGGTATTCAGATATTTATCCGAATCATACCTTCGTGGTACTGTGTCTCAAATTTGAATCGGCATATTTGGAGAATATTACATAACTTTGCAAATTTGGGGAATATCGCAAATTTGATACATTTCGTAGACCTAAAAAAATGCCAAAAGTGGGTGATTCAACTTCTAAAATAGAAGGTTGGATTTTTTTTCTTTAAACGCAAATCAGAAACCCCCGGCGAAGCAGGAATTATATTACAAAAGATGATTATTCAGAAATCGTGAGATGCGGTCTGGTGTGATGTAGGTTTCAGAAAAACATTTTCTTTATCCTGCCAACGTTTCGATCTTTATTGAGATCATCTTCAGGGCTTAAGAAAGATCGAAACGTTGGCACGATAAAGAAAATGTTTTTCTAAAACCTACATCACACCAGACCGCATCTCACGATTTCTGAATAATCATCGACAAACGTCACTAATCACCACACATTATTACAAAAGATATTAAAAAATAAAAAACCTCACCAAAAATACCGGATTGATTATGTTATGACTGAACGGAGGTTAATTAATGAAATCTTAAATGGAAACAATTAACTTGTTATGCAGAGAATCTTTGGAATTCAATATTTTTATGTTCCTACAAGTATGCTCCCTTCACTTCTGTTGAAATTGGAAGAACATATACAAATATATTTTGAGCGATAAACGCTGTAGTTTTACAGAAACTAACCGTGAAATGTATATAATTATCAATAGTAATTGAAACTTAATTAATTTTAATTATTTATTTCGCATAACATTTTAAATTTTATAATTTTTGTGTGTCTGGAATTTTTTGTTTTATTTCTTTTCAAATTGAATAACTATTAGACCAAAAGAAAAAAAATATATATATCTGAATTTAAAAAATTGGTCAATTTTTAGTGTGATGTCTCCCACATTCACGCTGCTTATTTTAATATTTTAGTGTATATTATACTGCATATTTGAGGGTTTAGTGTATATTATAGGACATATTTGATGATTTTTAATGAACATAAAAGCCGGGCTCAAGCCTTTTACATTTTTGGAAAAATGTCCTGGGGTTGACAGGATTTTTCTGGACATACCCGGTAAGTGAACCCCGGTTCAATAAAAGTTTCAATTGTACGCTTCCGTTGTCAATCGTGGCTTGTCTCAGTAATTAAAAAACATTATTTTTCTTCTTTACCGATAATTTCGGATTACCAGTGAGTTGAGTTCAAAAATAAACAGTCAACAAAAGAACATGATAGCTGCATTTCTACTCTTTCAGCAGGTCCTTGATAGGTGTAGCTTCATAGATTAATATATAAAAAATAAAAAACTGAATTCCCAACGTACCTGTTTGAAATAATATGCTCCCATTTAATTGGCAGTTCATTTAAAGCGACAATAAATTTCTACTCTTTACACCAAGAGCTATGAAGGACTTAAAAGATTTGTCCTCCAATTATTCAACATCCAACACCGTGGTATCTTTTTCAATATCCAGATGATACAGCAACACAATAACTTCCTAGCAGTTCAAAAATCTTCGAAGAAAGTCTCCAACTTTGACTCTTAATTTGCAAGGGTATAAGTTACGTTGTTACAAGTGTATTTGAGCCGAATGAAATTATGCTTCTATGAATATAAACAATTGTAACTTAAGAAATACCATACATAACAATTATCGATCTGGTAATAAAAATAATTTAGAAAAATAAGTCAGTAAAAGTAATCCAACCAAAAGCTAACCGTGAAAAAAGGACCAAGTTCCAGACCCCTTAAAAAAAAATACCCTATCAATGTAATGATATCTAAACTGTCGCCAAGTCCGTTCTTTTTTTATTCCATAACCTGAGTGAACTCAAAATAAAAGGTAAAAGGAGACTCTCTCCTAAAAAAGCAAAAAGTCAGCCATCAAACTAGTGATTCACTCCCGGAGGCCGTTTGGGGCACCGAAACCCATTTTAATCAAAAATTTAAAGGTGAAACGTAGTAATGAAATCCATTATATTTAGTAGTCTGATTGACCAAATTACTTCTTCCAATTAATTAATCTTTTTACGTAAGGTCTTAGTCGAAATGAAAAAGGTTAGTGTCACGAGCTGGATTCGAACCCACGACCTTCGGCTAAATACGCAGCTATTTTATATCGTGACTTCACGTGAGGTTGAAGCATCAAAGTCACGATAACTCAAGTGGTTAAAGCAGCGGCGTATTGAGCCGAAGGTCGTGGGTTCGAATCCAGCTCGTGACACTAACTTTTTTCATTTTAACTAAGACCCTAAATCAATGGATGCACGTGACTTCAAGCATTTAGAACTATCCTCCCCTATGAAATGGCACTAATTTTTGAAAAATTGCTATTTTCAGATTCTTATATTTTCTTGTAATATCTCTGTACCAAATTTCATGTTTCTACCTGTGCGGGAAGTACTTTAAAATTTTGATGGTGAGACTACACTCTCCCTCCCCCCATGTAGCGACACTAATTTTGAGAAAATTGCAACTTTCAAACTTTTTTCTTTACTTGCTTTATAAACCCTACCTTTTTACGTAATTTTACGTTTTTACTTATTCGGGCAGTGCCTTATAATTTTGATGAATAGACAGATGATGAGTCAGACAGTAACAAAAGTGTAGATTTTAAAATTCACCCCATTCAAAAAGGCTTAATATCAAGTGGTCAAATTTTTACAACGACCTAAGGTGCATAAGCTTAATTTATGTTTCGAATTTCAAAAGCCTCTCTTAAGCGGAAGCAGGGATATAAGGGTGAGAAAAACCGGGTGAATTTGTTCGTATAAAAATACACATGTCCCCATGTTCCAACTACAAAAAAAAAAAAATAAATAAATAAACCACTTAATTTTTCAATATATACATCCTTACAGCATTGTTTTTCTTTCAGAAAATAATGAACGGACAAGAAGAAGAAGACAACGTAACAAGGACACGAAAACACCAGCCAGGTCTTGAAGGACAGCCAAAGGCCAAGAGGATGGCCGGCAACATTAATTGTTAGATTCCATAATTACCTAAATATTTGGAATAGTTATTTTTTTATTTTTCTTTACAGAATGATTAATGAAATTTTGATTACAATCCATTATTTATGTTGAGAAATATGGTTTCAATTTTTTTTATTGTCCATCTAATGTAAATACATTTATGCAGTGTGCACATGATAGAACAAATGAGTTTAATCGAGATTTTTCAACATAACAGGTGTTTTTTCAATGATTGATCAACGTGCTGACGAAAATAACTTGCATGGAATAAGCGTAAAATTATGAATTTGACTCAAAAATATGAAAGACGTAAACCAAGGGTTTTCACGGAAGGGATGAAATGTCAAAACATTGTAAACATCATCAATGGGAATTTTCATCAAGACGAATTCGCCACGGTCGCATCGATGATCCGTGCACGGCAATAATCATCCGGGCTGCCGTTCTGAATGGAGCGTGACTTATCCGGGGGGACCAGGGAAAGATTAACCGGCATTGAGGCTCAGTGGATTTAATCAATTGATTCCTGGACATTTAGGATTCCACTTACATCAGCATAGTCATTTATCGTCCATTGAGTTCCTTTTTCTAAATGTGTTCTCGCCTCTTAATGTCCTTCCCTTGAAGGTATTAGGAAAAAACCATGGTACAGTCGATCTGCCGATTTCATTATCTAAAACCATTAAGCAAAGTACAAGGCAGATGTTCTATCTGGGATAACATTGCATCAACAACCGATTAACTATCAACCATAAAAAGATTAACAGTACTTTTAACTACAATTAATTAAGGTTTTTAGTTGAGATAAAAAAGTCAATGGCACGAGCGGGATTCGAACCAACGATCTTCGGCTAGATACGCCGCTGCTCTACCACTTGAGCTATCGTGACCTCGATCCACTCGGACACTAACTTCCCATCTCAACCCCACCTTTTGAATTTTTCCTCCTTTTTGCCATTTTTCAAATGTACTCGGATTGGATTCTCGACGACAAATGAAATGGCCACGGAGAGCTTTAGTACAGTATGCTTCATTTTAAATCATTAAATTCACTAATTTCGTTTAACCGCTTGACCAATTAATATATTACAATTAATTAAGGTTTTTAGTCGAGATAAAAAAGTCAATGGCACGAGCGGGATTCGAACCCACGATCATCGGCTAGATATGCCGCTGCTCTATCACTTGAGCTATCGTGACCTCGATCCACTTGGACACTAACTTTCAATCTCAACCCCACCTTTTGAATTTTCCCTCCTTTTTGCCATTTTTCAAATGTCGTGAACAAATAATAAATGATAGACCAAAAAATAATACGAAAAAAAATGGATAGAAAATCCGTCTGCTGAATGCAGGCAAAATAAATTACTCGTCCTTGAAATGATAGCAAAATTAGGTAGATTTATATATATTCATAAAATTTTTGAACGATTATAATTTATTTAAAAAATCTCGCAAATTTAGGTCACAAACGACTTATGTTACAACAACGATAAATCGATTGGGAGCGAGGATGGATAGAAAATAAAAAATTTGGCAAAAGAGAGGCCATATAGGGAAAGAATGAAAGAGAAAGTGAGAGGGGGAGAATGAAAAAACGATTTTTCGATTTAAAAAAAGGGAAGAAAGTGGGAAGGGGATGGAAATAAAATAAAAATTGGTCGAGAGGCATTATAGCGAAAGGAAGAAAGATAGAGAAAGTGAGAGAGAGCGCGTGTGAAAAAAGTGAGTATGAGGGGGAGAGAGAGACAGAGACAGAAAGTTTTATGTTTTAGTGAACTGTGTGTGAAGAATTTGAAGACTAAAAATTCCAATCCGCGCAAAATATTATTTTGGTATAATACAAAATATTTCCTATACTTTGTATTATAAATCTCCATGTTGTTTATATTACATCTCCTTGAATTCCTATCAAATTTTTTTTTTATCAAATGCTTAAATGTACAAAAAAAACTGGAATTTCAATGGTACAAGAACACAATGCACGGCATGGCCAATCAAAAATCATATGTACGAAACAACTGTTGTAAATGTAATAATTCATTTTTTATTAGTAGTTGTTCATACTTTCAGATCAAATGTTAGTTTAAAATTACTTCAACGTTTAAAAGTTATACGTAAGTAAATTTTGTTACTGTTTCAAATAGGGTTTAGTGTTTATTTTGTGTATCGTTTTCATTTATTTTTAATTCCGAACTATTTATTGATTTTTTTTGTTTTAGTTAGTTTAGTTTTTAATTTTTTGCGAATCATTTTTAAAGTCCTTATCATTAAGTTTTTAAAATTTTATTTTTTGAAATGTTCAGCATTTTTAAATCTAAACTGATTCATAACGATGTCTAAGACAAATTTCAACATTGATCAATATTGGTAAATCTTTCAAATCATGAGTTGTATTTTACAAAACAGGGCGTAGAGACAGTTATACAATATGTGCAACAAAAAACCGGCATCAAAATGTTACGTTCTTATTGTTTCCAAAGACCGTAAAAAAACGAATATATTATAGATAAATTTTCTCTCGTCAGAGGTACAAGCAGGACGTGGAAAGACGCTTATGCAATTTATTTCTACGTACGATTGAACTCCATTCCCTAAATTCAGTTGTTTCTTATATATACGAGAATAGCAAATAACTTCATGGATCCATTAAAAGCAAAGTACACACAGAAGAACGCAGCTTATGGCTGGTTGTATTTTTCGTAAATTTTAGGGGTATTCACGATGTTTGTAAGATGTCAACTCGAATAGAGAAATGTCCAGTAAGATTGTGAACGCCCCTTCTTTTCTTACCATGTTAAACGTTAGTGTCGACTTAGAACCAAAAGTAAAGCTATAGCAGTCCTTGAGCTTGTTGTTGTTTGTTTTGGTTTCCTTTTGGGTTAAATTGTTAATAGAAGTTAATAAAAATGGAAAATGATCAACTCTTTCATTCAAAATGCTTTGCATCTATCATGCATTCGAAAAGTACTAACAAATGACACACTTCAATTCGAGCCGAATACCTAACTTGTTTCCTAACGTCTAACAGCCTACAACTTTTATGATATGGGATGTATCTTTTATAAAAGAGTACCAGGACAGGTCAGAAATTAACTAAAGAAACGTATGGTGTGATTTAATTATTGCGTATTTAAGAATAAAAATACTGGTAAACAAAAAAACAGCTGTTAAATTCATGGCTGCCATGTTGGTTACCTAAGCTCTAACGGATAGCAACATGACTGTATTTTCGACATAACATTGGCCCTGGCCTGTTAGATCGAGCAATATTAACTAGCCGATTCTTACAAAACTACATCATTTTTCTCGATCTAACAGGACCAACACAAAGATCGTGAATACCCCTTATTTGGAGATCGTGGGATGCGGCCTGGTGTGACGTAGGTTTTAGAAAAACATTTTCTTTATCGTGCCAACGTTTCGATCTTTATAAAGATCATCTTCAGGGCATGGGATTTATAAACGTTGTTTAAATTATAGGAATGCATATAGGATGTGAAAAAATGAATTTATACAATAATAGAAATTTTCGACTCACTCAAAGTGTTTTGAAAACTGAAATCTCAATAAAGATGTTTTTGTTGTTTTTCTAAACCTTTGTCACACCAGACCGCATCTCACGATCTCCAAATAATCATTCATTAACAGTCATTAAACACCACATTTTTCATAAAATGTATCACTTATGACAACGATTTTCCAAGCTTTTTTTAAATTATTAACATGCACAGTTCGATTCGGCCTGGACGTAATAAACATTGCATTTTTTTGAATGATTGAAATCGATTGTGCCTTTTAAATTTGAACAGTTTTGACTGGTTAAATTATTTTATGGATTACTTAAGGAATTAATTTTGCAATAAAATAAAAAACACTCTCAACACTTTACTTAATGTGTGGTGATTAGTGACCGTTAATCGATATTTATTTAGAAATCGTGAGATGCGGTCTGGTGTGATGTAGGTTTCAGAAAAACATTTTCTTTATCGTGCTAACGTTTCGATCTTTATTGAGATCATCTTTAGGGCCTGGGATTTACTATCTAATATAATTTAAAAAATATATTTCATTGTATAAATTCACTTTTTTCCACATCCAAAATGTAATTGTTATATGTAAACAATGTTTGTAAATCCCAGGCCCTGAAGATGATCGCAATAAAGATCGAAACGTTGGCACGATTAAGAAAATGTTTTTCTGAAACCTACATCACACCAGACCGCATCTCACGATTTCTAGATAAATCAACTTTACTTAATATTCAAAATATCAAACGGATGTATTCTAACAGTATTATTTTCCTTTCAGAAAATTATGAACGGACAAGAAGAACAGGACAACGTTAGAAAACGCCTTCCAGGCGATCTAGAGAATGCGGTGATCGAACTTTACTCCATTCCCGGGACGACGATACAAGAAGTCGCTAAAGTCGTCAGCGCGGTTTACGACATTAACAAAAATGACATCAAAGGAGTTGTGACTCTGGCGCTAAAGAAAGGACTGAGAAGAGCCGGGAGAGGATGCGTGAAGAAGCATTCAAAGAGGATGAATTCCAGGGCGGTCAGTAGGTCAAAGAAGAAGGGCGACAACCGAAAATCACACCTTAGATCCGTGATGATGGCTAACAGAAGAAGGAATTCAAAATTCAGGCATCATCGGGCTGAGTGTCTACCTAAAAGAAGACAAGTCTGCCACAGCAGCAGTCGAAAACACCAAATGAAAAAAACGCCGAAAAAGAAAAGCAGGAGTGAAAGACGAAGTTCACGTTTGTGTCGTCCTTCTAGAAAAATGCGCTCGTCTTCAAGGAGGCACTCATCTTCGAAGAGAAGGCACTCATCTTCAAAGAGAAGGCACTCATCTTCAAAGAGAAGGCACTCATCTTCAAAGAGAAGACACTTGTCTTCAATGAAACGGTACTGTTCTTCAAAAAAACGGCACTCATCTTCTAAGAAAAGGCACTCGTTATCAAAGAAGAGACGTTGTTCGTCAAAGGAAAGGCGTTCATCTTCAAGGAAAAGGCACTCATCTTCAAGGAAAAGGCACTCATCTTCAAAGGGAAGGCACTCATCTTCAAAGGGAAGGCAATCTGACTCAAAAACAAAGCGTCCGCCGTGTCGCACTGCCCACAAGAAGCGCAAAGACACAAGCCCGTTGGTTCTTCCCGACCACCCAAGTTGCTAAATCATATATGAGTGCAATTTATCCTATTCTGTTGTCTGTGTCTTAAGCAAATAAAAAAATTATTTTGAGTCGTTTAAAGTATTAATATTATTAATAAAAATATGTCTTAGGGCTTACTAACAAATCTGGTCTCCAGCTCTCTGACAACCAGGAGACGGAGTGACTAGACGACTTGTGTCAACTATAGTGCCAAGTTGTGTGTGGTTTGAACAGAAACTTGAACAATTTCGTTTGGCTGTTGGCAAAATACGTATCTAGTGTAATTCATTGAAAAGTCTAGTGATTTTTACTATTGCCGGTACAGAACGAGAAAAGAGAGTACTACCGTCTGAGTGGCCCATCCTATTTATGCATGACGGGTCTTTTGATCACCAAGTATCTTAGTCTTGAATACTTGAGTATCCCCGTGTGATAGGAGCTTAAACGCTTTTCAGTGCACTTTGAACCAATTGCCACGGGACGTCGGGTCGGTGGCCGTAAAGCTTAGAGGATCTGCATCAAGCCTCCCCCCGTGGGGTAGATATGACCTGTTGACAACGCTTGAGGAAAAAACCAAGTCTTGAATTGCAGTTTGGTCGTTGCCGATCATTTTAGACTGTATGTGTGAAACCACCGAAAATGAAGATAACCAAAACACAGACCAAAACAACAAAGGTAAGCCGGTCAAAATGGTGGGTAACGGCAAAATTACGAGGTCGAAAAAGGTCCTGTACAACGGTAGGTATGAAAATACCCAAAGAAAATAGGAATATACAAAAATGTATATGCCTGGGAACATAAGGGAATATTCACTTTTTAAATTATTTTGGTGTTTAAACATTATATCAGCGATGGTGTTATAAAACTTGAGTTATGTTGTTTTCAGATTTCGACCGTCCAAGTTTTAGTAGAAAGATTTTTCGAAAATTAGAACGGAATTCAAAAAGTAACAGGTACTTGAGGAAATTGACCTTTCAACTCTATTTTTCTTATTTTTACCACCTTTTTTGTAAAAACGCTGTCCGAGGCAACATTTACTCTTTGGTACTCGAGATGATATATCCCTCTTTTTCGCTTCCCTAAGTGGTAGGCGTTGTGCGACAAAAGGGTCCACCTGGCCCTTTCAACAGGGCCGAATCTTTAACGCCTTGTTAACAAAGCTACCTAGGACTTCAATGGACTACTCATGCGGCAAAACACCTTTGAACCTTCGGAGTCATTCAAGAATCCCGCTTTCGTGATGACACGGTCTGGTTAAATTAGAGCTTCTCAGGGGCAATAAAATACTAAAATAACCAAGTAATTCAAGCTTTCCCGTACGTTATTCTTTCCCATTGGCTAATGACAGCACTCAAAGAAACTAAAACATGGATATTTAACAAAAATAATTTTAAAAATGTTGAGTATGAATGAACCTTATAAGTATGCAGATGTATGCCGAGTCGAAAAAAATATAAAAATTTGTCAAATAGCAGTAAACATGGACATAAACAAACAGCCAAAGCCAACTCTCCCACTCTTTCTCTCTCTCTCTCTCTCTCNTCTCTCTCTCTCTCGTTCGCTCAATTATCTCTCTGTCATTGAAAAAGCTTTTAGCAGAAAACATTACATTGTATATCAATTTAAAAAAATATATTTAAAATTAATTTATTCATCCATGAAGATAAAGCTTTTTGATGCACTAATACTTCCAAATATAACTTATGGCCTTGCAGTAATTTCTAATATTTCTAATAAAAATATTCTTTCTTACATATATGTACTATGATTCTAGGATTTATGACAAATATTATCATTTATCCATTTTAAAAATTGATGATTTGTTAGAATACAAAATTTTGACTATTTCCCATGATTAATTTAAAAAAAAATCGTTATACCAACAGTTTGTCATTTTAAAGCTAAAAAACCGCTACTTTTTCACGTTCTCAAACTGCATCTAAAATGGCATTCTTTCGAACAAACTGTTTTTATAATTCATTTTTTCCTAAATCCATAAAACTTTACAATAATTTACCCAATGATTATTCGGAAATCGTGAAATGCGGTCTGGTGTGACGTAGGTTTTAGAAAAATATTTTTTTAACGTGCCAACGTTTCGATCTTTATTGTGATCATCTTCAGGGCCTGAGTTTACAAACATTCTTTAAATTTAACAAATACATATAGGATGTGGATAAAAGTGAATTTTTACAATGCAACAATTTAAACAATGATTGTAAATCCCAGGCCCTGAAGATGACCTCAAAAAAGATCGAAACGTTGGCACGATAAAGAAAATGTTTTACTTAAACCTACGTCACACCAGATCGCATCTCACGATTTCTGAATAATCATCCACAAACTGTCACTAATCACCACATATTAAAGATTATGCTGAACTATCTACACATTTAAATGTTTGCTCTAATACCAGATTTTGAATAAGTTATTTGGTTGTATACTTTTATTTTCCTGTGTAAGTAGTTAAAAAGTTAAATAAATCAAATCGTAAGTGCAGAGTTTATAATTAATTTATCTTGTCATTTTGTTAATTTTTTTCTATATATACATAAATTTACGTTTTGCAGAAGGTCATTTAGGTTGGAGAATAGTTTATTTAACAATATAGTTGCTCTGTAATTTGATGAATTTTGGCAAATATGTTTTATTTTTTATCACCGGTAATTTGACTCTACATTGAATTCCTCTTGTAACATATTTCTTCTGAAATAGTTTACTGATTTTTTGAATTAAACTTTATTTGTATGTTCGAATGCTTGTTAAATGTAAAAAAGGTCCATGAGGCCTAATTTTGCGAGCTTTTATAAATAAAATGGTAAATTAAATTCAATTCTCACACAAAACACACACACACACACACTCTCTCTCTCACTCTCTCTCTCTCGCTCTCGCTCTCTCGAATGAACGCACCTTTGTGCAAAATAGATTTATCAGTATGTACCACAAATGTATGTAGCTTTGCATAACACATATTTTACTTTTCAGATAAAAACACTTTACCTCCTTTTTTTCCCATTTTGGTATGTATATATATATATATATATATATATAAAACAATTTACAAGTTATATGAAGGAATCATTCGTTTGTTAAATTTAAAATAAATAAGACAAAGTAAGTGTTCTTTTTTTAATATTACAAACGAAAATTATTTTTACATACATAAGCAAAAATTTTATATAGAAAATTATACTTTCACCAAATGTACTGTAAGAAAATTAAAAATATTTGGCAACTTACGTAGAGTTAACTTTTACGTAGAGTTTGTATAAAATTATCCACTTATATGGAATATTGAATAAAATTTATACAGTAAAACAAGAAAGAGATATAAGACAATAGATACATTCAAACCTGTCTAACTCTTGCCTAAACTTGTATACAACAAACGTTTTAAAAATAAAATAAATACATTTAACATGTGATGATGTGTGTATATTCATTCTTCAGTTGTGTATGGCAAAATAACAAATTTTTGGCGAATATAATAATTTATTCAATTCACTAGGTTCGTGGTCCGCTTGACCAATTAATATATTACAATTAATTAAGGTTTTCAGTTGAGATAAAAAAGAGATAAAAAATTCAAAAGGTGTGGTTGAGATGGGAAGTTGATGTCCGAGTGCATCGAGGTCATGATAGCTCAAGTGGTAGAGCAGCGGCGTATCTAGCCGAAGATCGTGGGTTCGAATCCCGNGCCGAAGGTCGTGGGTTCGAATCCCGCTCGTGACACTAACTTTTTCATTTCAACCAATACCTTACATAAAGATTAATTAATTGAAAGAAGTTATTTGGTGAATCGTACCACGAAATATAATGGATTTAATAATAATTTATTCTCTGTGTGATCAGCGGGGTTGCCGATCACTTTAGTCTACCTGTCGTCGCTGGGTTGATCTTCAGATGTCAATTCGGCGTATTCAGTTTGTCCTTTAAATACGTTTGTAACAATTACAATAATATTCAGAACAGCTACAAAATTTGTTGTTAACCGAATTGTTTTAGACAGACCAGACCAGCGAAGGTTGGAAGATTTGGACAACGAGGACGACCTATATACAAGTTCGTTTCGCGGATCTCAACAAAAAATCAAACAGTTCAAATTTATTTTGTTAAATTTCAATTGGACAAGATGGCCACTGGTTGTACCTGTATATGATACAGATCTGATGCAAATAATATTGGTTGTAAATGTGTGTTTTGTGCCATTGCTACCTGGTGCTGTGGTCATTTCACGCTCTGACGGTCTCGAGGAGTTTTCATTCAGCAGAGCCGACAAAAGGCAGGCCTAATGTCAAGAGGTTTCATTCTCTCCTCCCATTCATCCCCTAAGCCCATTGATCTCTTTTTCCCGTAGTAAAGTTATGAAATGATGTTCAGAAGCCGGCGTTTTCTCGGAGCTGCACCTGGCCTGTGAATGTGCCGGAAAGTTTTGACTCCAGGGACAGATCTCATGAGATTTTCGCCTGGGATAGTAACAAATCCGGGTTACCAACGGATTAGAGGCGTTTGAAGTGGCCGCTTTAAATACATATTTCCCAATGGGGGACACAATCCTTGAAAGGCTTATCCGACTATCGGCAGCGTCATCCTTTACTAATCATCAGGGTGTAAATTCAGAACTTTGCAGACTATAAATTAACGTGAAAAATAGTTACACAGATAGATAGCAGTTTTAATAGCTACATACTGAAAAAACTATAACATCAAAACAAGAAAAGGAACAATATCAACATTAAACAAATCTGGCTGTTATATTTATCGTTAAAAAAATCATAAATTATAGAACATACATGTATGTAAATAGCTGAAATAAAATATATTTCACACTTGTGAATCGATTATCTCAGATTTGCTTAGACTTTAATCAATAAACATTGAAACCTAGACTTGTTGGGAAAATGTTCAGATTTCTCCTCTCCAATAAATTCTCCACAATCCGGTCTAAATAATAATAATAATAAATCTATATCTAAGTCTAAACAATAAAAATAAATTTGTTGAAGGCCCCCCGAGAATGAGGTAGTTTAGAAAAACCTTTTTAATTGATTCTCTAGTTTTCGTGGTCCGCTTGACCAAGTAATATCATACAATTA